TATCTTTCTTTCTTTCTTTTGTCTTTCTGTCTTCTGTCTTTCTCTCTTCTCTCTGTCTCTTTTTCTTTCTTTCTCTATCTCTTCTCTCTCTCTCTCTCTCTCTCTCTGTCCCTCTTTCTTTCTTTCTTTATCTCTCTCTTTCCTTCTCTCCGATGTGCGGATTGTGTAATGAAGAGGTCGGCAACGTTTTGCTAACTATGTGCCGACTTAGATTCTTAAAATCATCCAATGTGCCAACAGCAGACGTATTTTTTATACAAGTCAAGGTCAATATACCTGTTCTACAATATATTTTATATAGTAATATATATATATACAATAATATGTAAAGTAATATTTATAAAAATAAACTGTTTTTTAAGTGTTTATTATTAATGGGAGTCCAACAAGTGAGCAGCTTTAAAATAGGTAAATATCTTCTTTGCGTTGGTTCGGACTTTGTGATGTCATTTACGGCTGCGTCCCATTGGAAACTGCTTGACGTGCCACGTATAGCACACGTGCCGTAGGTTGCCGACCCCTGGTCTAAACAATAGCATATGATTAAGAGCTTTTAACCATGAACTAATGCATATTCATATAAAATGAGTAAGACCATCCACTAATCGCCTGACAGATCCTCATGAGTGGCAAGATTCCTAAAAAGAAAAAAAAAACGTATAGCCAGTAGATTTTATAAGTTAAATCGGGTCCTATCTGAGGAACCTCTTGCTGCCTTCCATCAGCATGGCTGATGCTAACCTCCAGGAGAGTGAATCGTTCCACCCTCTCATGAAGCGTAAGAATTATATTGAAACAATCACTATGTCTCCTTCTAGGAAAATTGGTTCGTTAAGTCGTACTAGACATTTTTTCTCTCCACAATCTATCTAGCATATTGTAATTCTAGACTTCGTCCATGCATTTAATATCCCTGCCACATCTGGTCTGGTGCCCCTGCTATATATGTAGAGATCATTGATAATCTTGTTGCGGGCCCAGTAGGATGCAGTGCTGGTTTATTAAAAGGCGGCCTTGTGCCAGACACTACTTATGACTACCGAATCCACAAACAAAGTAAAAATATTGAGTGAGTGATCTTTAGTGAGCAAAAGGGGTCATTAAACACATGCACAAAATAGTAAAATATAGATAGCCAGGATTAAACGACAAAATGAGTCTGGTAAAAGAGCAAATATAAACTTTTATTATTTTTAAACCAGTAAATTGTTTCGACAGTGGAGACCATCAGTAAAGTTACTGGATCTTTGCAATTAATGAAAAGGTTGTGACAAGTAGTCACTGAAGGAATGACAGTGTCCCACGCCAACAGAAAACCAAAATGGCTAAGGCGGGAAAAGTTCTTCAGGAAGAAAGTTCTGGAAAAATGTCTTGTTGAACGAAAGGTGTAAGCATACACAACAAGGAAAAATACTCACTGCGAGGTTTAATAATGTATGTGTAATGCTATCTTTAAGGTACTGGTTCGTAAGGATTAGAAGTTTCAAAGGTGTATGAACAGTTTATCAATCTTCTTCAGTGAAGGAAAATTCAGAGTTGTTCGCATCAAGACGAGGAAATTAGTCTTGGATAAGTGTGAGGGCGGCCGTGTTGTAGAACTCTGGGAGTGAATAGAGGAAAGTTCGAAAGCTGTTCGCATCAAGACGAGAAGTTGGTCTTGGAAAAATATATTGACGACAGTGTCGTAGAACTCTACATTTTCTAGCTGGAAACGGAGAAAGGTTCAACCTGCTGTTTGCATCAAGAAGAGGATACGTCTTGGGAAAGTGTGAGGTCGACATGTTGAAGTTTTGGTTATTTAAGATATTCCGGTCCGCGTATGGGTTAGGGGCACGGAATAAATGAGTCAACCATTTAGTTTGAAAATAAGGCGGCAACTAACTTGAAAACGCTGCTCGTCTGTGACGTCAGGACACGCGCGGGAAAAAATTCAAATTCTGATTTTAGACGTTATCAGGAGTAGCTAGCTAGCCAGCCTTCCTCACGTCAGCGTTTACTACTATGTCTAGCTGAACGTGACAGGAAGGGGTGCAGTCCGCGTGCGCGCACACACACACACACACACACACACACACACACACACGCAAAAGGGTGGAATTCACGATTCCACAAAATCAAAGAATCTACAATGTTATTCGTACTGACCTGGCATCTCGGCTTCAGTTACTTTCTCACCACCATAACATATCTTCCCTAGGCCTTTTCTATAAATACTTTCATGTTAATTGTTCTAGTGTACTTTCCTCTGTTACATAAACTTAATTTAATCGCAGTACTAAATTGGCGGCAAGGTCTCATCTTTTTACAGTTAGAATGTAACCATAAGTTCTATGCTAGCATTTCTTCCACTGCACTTCACGCTTGTAGGACACTCTACCGGCTTCTAACTTCCCAGTCAATTTTCATCTTCAAAAATTTAAATGCTGTGTCAACTGTTATCTTCAATCTTCTTGTTCTTTTAATGTTCTCTCTCTGTAATAAAGTTTTCTTTTTCCAATATTTTCTCACACTCAGTAACCTCCTTGAGTCTTAGTGGCTTCATTGCCTTGAAAAGTGTGAAATGATTTAAAAAATCTCCAACCTCTAATTTGATGAATATACTTGGATCAGGGGTGTCAGTTTCTCAAATTCAGGTTGGAAGAGACTTAGGAGAAGCCTTAGATCCCCGTTTAGAGTAATTTTCAGAACAACAACGACAGCTATATCGTTACATTTGTTCTTCTTCTGACGTTGGCCGTCATGGCTCTCCACAATTTCCTATCCTTTGTAGCTCTAAATAAATTTTAATTTTATTTCTCCTAAACCTTGTCATGTTATTATTTTACTCAAGCTCACTAAGTATGTTATGCGATTTCTTCTGTTCCTCTTGCCTTTAGTCAGTCCCGTGAGTATCAAATTTCCCAAGCCCTCTTTCCACATTATGTACCCCCGAAATTTAGTGTCGCTTTCTGGTGTTAGATGTAAGGGTTCGTTTTGTTTCCATTTTCTCTAAAACTTAGTCGTTGCCCACATGCTCAATGCATGAAATTCTCAGCATCTTTCTGTAGAACTACATTTCTGTTGTTTCAAATTTTTCTTCATCTGCTATATAGAAGGACTGATAATAATCTTATTCTGTTTCTTTATACTTCGCTTAACTTTTAGAAGGCATCTTTCACTAGCGCAACGTCCCTTGGATTTTACTGTTGCATTTTCTGTCCTCTGTTAAAATATTTCCCAGACATTTAAATTGTTGTACTTGTTTTATTTTGTTATCTCCAATTTGTAATTTGCATGTTGAGCTGTTCCTTTTCTAACAACCTGTCTTCTTGCAATTGGTGTTTCGTCCTTCCTTTCATTACCGTCTGTAGGGATTCTTGTAGTTTCCTTTCCGTGTCCGCCATTAACACCGTGTCATCTGCATATCTGATATTGTTAAGATTGTGGCCGCGAATAATGAATCTTGGTAGGTCTTCTAATTCTCTCAGAATCGTCTCATTGTATAAGTTGAATAAGTCGCTACAATTACAAACTTAAGAATATTGGTCCCTTTGGACATCGACTGCCTGATCAGGCTATTGTTTGGCCTGTCCTACACAGATAACGTCAGCAAATATGATTAAACGTTCAGACATTTAACTTCGACCAACAAAATAAATTACATCCATGTAATTGTGTATAACTTTATATTAATGTTATTGTAAAGTATACACGTTCATTAAGTGCCACTCAGATTTTGTCATGTATTCCAGGAAATTAAAAATTATTTGGTTCTATGCCACCCTTCTGGCACCTACCACGAGCCGCTCATCTGCTGGGTCACTTGGAAACTATATATATATATATATATATATATATATATATATATATTTTTTTATGTTTAGCGTTCGTTTTATAGATACAAGTATTTAAGTAAATTATAATAAACAGTATTAAATAACATTTACCGGACATTCAGTCCGAGAAATGTTATTTAATACTGTTTATTATAAACAAGCATTTACTTAAATACTTGTATCTATAAAACGAACGCTAAACATAAAAATGTCTTTATTAAATAAATTGTCGGTCTTTGTCCATTTCTTTATATATATATATATATATATATATATATAAGAAAAATATATACGGAAAAAACAAAACAAAAATCCTTATATACAATTACGCTGTTTTAATGTTAATATGTCAACGTCGGACGTTTCGGTCTAATATGTCTTGAAGATGGTTTATTAGACCGAAACGTCCGACGTTGACATATTAACATTAAAACAGCATAATTGTATATAAGGATTTTTGTTTTGTTTTTTTCCGTATATATTTTTCTTTCATACTGTCGGATCTATATCCAAATATTTGCTTATATATATATATATATATATATATATATATATATATATATATATATATATATAACTTAAAAGTCTGCACGGATTACGGCTTTTAAACTAGTCATAAAATAAAACACTTCCATCAACATATTGATAAAAACGTCAAAGAATACTAATAGTTCATTTTTTGTAGCGAAATGGGATCCTATGCCACAATTCTATTTTTATTTTTGTCATGAGATTTTTGAAGACGAGACAAGAGTGATCCGAGCGAAAATGCCAGGCAACGGTATTTATTTTTTTATTTTTGTCCTCACCTCCACAAAAAGCACAAATACGACAGGTTTGATTTAACGTGGGGGTTCTATCTGTGTAAGAGCTGCGAAAAGGAAGAGTTACCAAGTTTCTGTGGTTAATGACACAGGGATTAAAAAGCAATGTTTTTTTTTTGATTGATTGATCTTTTTCTAAGATGTTGCAGGTTATTTAAAGCCAGAAAATATTTTTAAAATGTAATTTTTTTTTTTTTTAGAGATCATAATGATTTAGTGATACAAGTTTTACTAATTAATCCATAGTTGGGGGAGAAGAGGTAGAGGTATTTGCGCGTCAGTGAACCCAACTGGAATTGGAACTCGGCTCCCCGATTAACAATTCCGAGCCATTATCCATTACTCCATCCTCTCATTCAAGCTTACAGCACCCGGTATTCCCAAGGGGTCACCCATCTCGATACTGACCAGACCCGACGTTGATTAACTTCGGTGATCGTACGGAAACCGGTGTTCCAACGTGATCTCGCCGTAAACCGACAAGTTCATGGGGAGGTATCACTCCAAGATAGGAATCCTCATGATTAAGATTCTTGGGACAATATTTTAGAAGATATTGTCTCCAGAAAAATGTTTCTGTGGCACAGGCAGCGGTATTGTCAGACGTTGACAAAAGTGCATTCTCTCACACAAAACCTACTATGATTAGACATCTATTTTTTTTCTGTCACGCTTTTCGTTTTTAAATGCTATTCTTATAAAATGCCATTATTTTCTAGACAACCTAATTTATTGATGTGAACATATATGTGCCAAATATGAAATCGAAATGCAGCTCTTTTTTTTTTTTTTTTTTTTTTTGATTTTCTTCTTTTTTCAATTTCCTCTGTTTCTCTCGATTTAACAAGATGCATATATAAAACGGAGAATAATCTCGGATTGAGGAATCGGGGAGCTGAGTTCGAATTCCACCCAGATCCATTACATTCACTTACGTGTTAATAACCTAGGGAAGGGTATGAATCATCATCTTCTCACCCACAGCTATGGATAAATTGCTGGACATACTGGGTTTTATAGCCTTGGGTGACAACCGGTCTAGGAGAAGGAAAAACTCTGAATTCAAAACCGGCCTGGAGAGAGTTGGGCCCCATCGGGCTATCTTGTCTGGTTGCAGGACACATGGTACTCCTTTTTGTTTAAATCCATTTATGGCAGCCATCCCTAAAATAGGAAGGTGGTCATTAATGGGTTAATTTTAATCCATGTCCTGCTAGAAGATGGACATCAAATGAAAAGTTGTCTCTGTTTTATTCATAATTAAAACTTTTGATCTGGACCTTTTGATTTCAATTAAATGACTCGTGCTCATTTCAAAGGTCGGACGATTTTTTTTTTTTTTTTTTTTTTTTGGATATTTTTTTTCAGCCTCTAAGAAAGATTCTGGTTTGTGCATATAGCATTAGTTCGTAGAATAAAATCTCCTTTCTTTTTCTGTTACGTATCTAGAGATTTTTGACAGAATCTGCAATATTATCGGTCCTCACGTGGAATATCGGCTTCACTCACTTTCCCGCAGACGTAATTAGATTACCTGCGCCATTTCTATAAATGGTAAATGTTCTGATGAACTTTTATAAATTGAAACGTAGTACTAGATTGGCAGTTAGGTCTCATCTGTTGAATTTTCTTGATATAACCATAAGTTCTATGCTAACAGTTTCTTCTTCGCACTTTTCGCTTCGTGGAAATCTCTTCCGGCTTCTTGCTTTCATGTCAACTACGATCTTCAAAAATGTAAATGCCATGCCAAACGCCATCTTCTGTCTCTTTAAATCCTTTTTTCTTTTATTGTTCTTGCTGCTTAATGTTTTCATTTTCTTATATTCATTCACGCTCAGTAACCCCTGCATCTTAGTGGCTTTGTTGCCTTGCTTGGAGTGAAATAGAAAAAAAAATAATATATACAGATTTCTAAAAAGGTTTGAAGGAAGACTAGTTTTTTTTTAAACTATATTTTTTTTCAAATGATTTTCACTTGTTTTCATATAAAATAATAAATATCCCCTCAACGTTTCTTTCAATCTCAATAAACGCTTGTGTCAGTGGCTTTCTTGCCTTACTTAGTCCATTTCATAATATATTTCATTCTAAGTCTGATAATTATTTAAATATATTTTTTGTTCACTATTTACATTATTCGGACTATTGTCCTCATGGTAGTTGGAATGTCGAAAATTCGTAAACTTAAGGAATCAGCACATATGCTAGGCCACAAAAATCTCCTGAGCCGACCAAGCATAGAAATGAATACAATATGGGAACTAGTAATAATGAGTGCTAGAGAAAAGCGATAATAATAAAATTTGCAATATGAGCTCTGGTAAAAACATAAAATGATAACAACAACAATTGCAATATGAGCACTGATAAAAATGGTGGCTGAAGACATTATGTTTTTAATACCCAGAAATTCATACACAAATGTCCTCAAGGACACATGGCACAGTGCATAAAGGCGTTAGTTAGTGACAGGATCCAAAGAGTGTGCGTTCAATACCTGGTAAAGGCGGAGAACTTTGAGAGGTGAATTAACAGGAGATAACTGACATCCATTGGACATGGCACGTAGAACTTGAACAGTCTACCCCAGTGATCGAAATAAAGGGTTTAGTTCGACATTCCAACCACCTGAAGAAGGCCGGAGCGTACACCGGCCGAACCGTTGTGATAAATATGGTGACAAAGATGAGGACAATAGTCCGAATAATGTAAATAGTGTACATAATACGGCATCTCAGAAATATAGATAGATATTTTTTGTTTATAGGTTATTTTTTTATAAATGCTTTGTATATAATACGCAGTATTAACAACATTTACCGGCCTGAATTATACGCGTTAAGATACGCTTCGAGCAGATATGAGCGTTTGAGAGAAATCATGGAAGTTTGTAGTTCGAAAACATTAATTTAACCTTTCTAATCGGCCGCATCTTCTGTAGCTAAGTGGTATAGCGTGTCAGGCTATATGGCGGTTCTGTGTAGGATACAGGTTCAATTCCTTTCGGAGGACATATTTTCTTTGCGATTTCTCAGACACTCAGGCCGGTATATGCTAATACTGTTTATTATAAACAGAGCATTTACTTAAATATTTGTATCTATAAAAATAACGTATAAACAAAAAATATATTAAAATAATTGTCGGACTTAGTCCATTTCATAATATACTCTGTCATATAAGGAAATTGATTAAGTCCGATAATTATTTTAAGATATTTTTTGTTTATACGTTATTTTTATAGATACAAATATTTAAGTAAATGCTCTGTTTATAATAAACAGTATTAACAACATTTACCGGCCTGAATGTCCGAGAAATATTGTAGAAAATGTCCTCCAACAAGTGTCACACCTGTATCCTAAACGAAATTGTCAATCAGAGGACATATTCTATTCAAAACAGCATTTACTTAAATATTTGTATCTATAAAAATAAAGTATAAACAATAAATATATTGAAATAATAGCCATACTTTGTCCATTTCATAATATATTATATATATATATATATATATATATATATATATATATATATATAAAGAAATGGACTAAGTCCGACAATTATTGTAATATATTTATTGTTTATATATAGTGAGATATCGAACGTGGAATTGGAGCAATCTACCCACCTCTGTGGACTAAATAAAGGGTGTGATTCAAAATTCCAACAAATATCACCTGAAGAAGGGCGGAGCGTACAATGGCTGAAACGTCGTGAATATGTCAATAAAAAGGTGGACAACAGTCTGAACAATGTAAATAGTGTAAATAATTTATTATTTATGTGTATTTTTTTAATTTAGTCTCCCATTATAATATTTGCTATAGGCCTTGTTTTATCTTAATCGAACTCTTTTCAGTAATTAAGGAGTGCTATCTTAGTTTGACAACTATTGTTATACAACGGGCGCTTGCAGAATTTTAGAATGGAATCAACGTTGGTGTTGGCCTATCTTCTATGCTAATAAATAAGTACCGCGTTTCTCATCTTGTGGGAATTTCGATAAACATCTCCTTTACCAGAATAACACCGAAGAACAATGTCGGTTGACGAATCTCAAAAATTACTGCCTCTGCATAACAATTACTTGAGACTTGCGGATCAACTCGAGCAGAATTTGAATAAATTCCAACGTCTTTCCTATTCCGTGAGAGATTATGCGAACGGCACTGCAATGCGGGTAGAAAAGGGGGGTAACTAATGAAAATCGGGGCCCTGGATAAGGTACAATTATCTGGCGAAAAAGAACTTCCTTTTCTCCGAGTAATTTATTTTGTTTCTGTTGCCTGTTCTTTGCAAAAATGGCAAACGAACACGAGGGGAATTGGTTCCCTTCACTGTAATTGGACGAGACCTTGGAATTAGACGAACGATCTCTAAGAATCCCACCTATATTTTTTCCTACTAATTTTTTGTTTTCCATCCCCCCACCTACACACACAAACGCATATATATATATATATATATATATATATACACGTGTGTATGTATGTATATATTGTTGCAACGAGATATAGCGCTGTTTTATTATGTTTCGTAGTTATATCATTGAAAATTCAATATGGAATCATTTTTTTTTAATCTACAAGAACAGCATTAATGATGAAGGTGATGAGGGGGTAAATTTTAAGCGGGGTGAAAAGAATAAAAACGTAGAGGACCGGAAGACTACAAAAATTACAATGCAAACAATGAGGAGGAGGAAGAGACAATGCAAATAAGGAGGAGAAGGAGACAATGCAAAGAAGGAGGAGAAGGAGGAGGAGGAGACAATGCAAACAAGGAGGAGAAGGAGACAATGCAAAGAAGGAGGAGAAGGAGGAGAAGGAGACAATGCAAAGAAGGAGGAGAAGGAGGAGGAGGAGACAATGCAAACAAGGAAGAGGAGGAGACGACAATGCAAACAAGGAAGAGGAGGAGACAATGCAAACAAGGAGGAGGAGGAGGAGGAGACAATGCAAACAAGGAGGAGGAGGAGACAATGCAGAGGAGGAGGAGGAGACAATGCAAACAAGGAGGAGACAATGCAAACAAGGAGAAGGAGGAGAATAAAAAAAAGCAGTTGGAAAATAGCAATAACAGAGAGAGGGTAGAAGAATGAGATTGTTGGGGAGGAGGTTAGAAAGAACGGAGAGGGTTTGAGGATTAAAGTAGGAGGTGGCGGAGAAGTACAAGTAAGAGAATGGCAAGAATAGACTGAATGTGGTCGTAAGAAGAAAGGAAATAGGAAGAAGTAGTAAACAATAGGAATTTCTCCAGAAGGGACAAATGGTTGAGAAATGGGTTGGAAGCAGAAAATGAAAGGGAGGGGGTCAAACGAAATTATAGAATAGGGAAATATATTCAAAGAAGGAGAGGGTGAGCAACAGAGACCAGAAAGAGGAACCAGAGTCGAGAGAACTTGAAGGAAAAAGGTGAAATTATTTAAAAGAAAAAAATAGAAGATATTCTTACTGTAATGATGATGA